TTAATTTTTTTTAAGATTCTACTACACTCGATTTTTCGGTTTCTAATGATGATGAAATTTAATGTGTGTATTAATAAGTCTAATTTACTAGTCTATAACGATAAGAATATTATTTTACTTATTTAAATGTTTCATTAGAATTAAGGCGGGATTTCTCTCTTTCATAACTATAGGATTTTATATATTCCAAAAACTTTCGACATTCTGACATTATATGAAAATAATAGCAATTCACCACCAATTTTTATTATGAAATTTATATCCTTCAATTGCGATTCACCACCTATGATTCCCGTCCTCAGTCTCAGCCGTGACAATTCCTGTAGAAATTTTAAGAAATCATTATTATTTAATCTGATGCATATAGAAATATCAAAACGTTTGGGCTTTTACGTACAATAATTGTCGGGGATGATACTGGAATCTGAGGCCTTAATTTGAAAATATAAACCCTATAAAATTCACCTATACTCTTTTATTATAAACACTAACCCTAAATTCTAGCCTAACTATGAAAAAAAACTGAACAAAACACCCCAAAAAAATGTTGAAATTTCTTAATAAAATAAGTTGAAATTTCAGCATCATCTCTGACAATAATTAATTTGTTATAATTTCATTACTTATTTTGGCAAGGACATAAGAACATAAATAAAGTCTATTGTTCTATTTGATGCTTAATATTAATATTAATTGGATTTTCCATATTCTATAATTAATAAGTATCTTCAATTTTGTGCAAAATTATTGGTTTATAAAAGTGATCAGATTTTTCTATATAATAAAGTATATATCTGTTAAATTTAAATTGGTGAGAAAATATGTGCTACATACCTTTTTATATATGTATATATTTATATCACACAACAATGATTAATTTCTTTGTAATATCTCAGAATTATGATCGATGCATTTAGTTTTAAAAGACGAGTTGTGTATGGGAAATGTGCGACTTGCAATCTCAATAACACATCACCAGCTTGGTGCCAAACATGTGACCCTCAGAAGACAATGCAAGGATGGACAAGTGGAAATAAAGATATCGATGATTGCATTAAGGAATTTCAACTTAAATCACATCTTATGAAGACGTAATCGAATGGATTCCTTTTAATAGATTAGTTAACATTCAAAATATTGACGATAGAGTTTTAGCAACCTGGTTGGACGGAGTACGATATGTAAATAATAATAAATATGGATATGCACAGTCACGTACACCGGCATGTATAATTACACTTAAAACTTTACCTGGTTCACAAAGAATTTTTAAGAGAGGTAAATTAAATAATTTATTTATAATCCAATATAAATAATTATAGATAAACTATTAACATAAAAAATTTTATTTTATAATTTTATTTTAATTAGCAAGTTTAAAAGATACATGGAATTTAGATTAGTGAGTAATAATCTTGAAGTATATGGATTAACTCAAGACACGACTAATAATGAATATTTGTTGGTATTTCAATATGCAAATAGAGGAAGTCTTCGTAATTTCCTATCTTTAAATTTTAGAGACCTTGATTGGAAAAGCAAATTAAAGCAACTTGTCGATATATCTAAAAATTTAATAAAAGTACACAAAGCAGAATATGTCCATGGGGGTTTTCATAGCGGAAATATATTGCAAAATCAATATATTAATGGGGATCTAATATCTTATATTGCAAATCTAGGATTATCTAGAAAGAATGATTATTCTGATTTAGAAGATGGTATTTATGGCGTTTTACTTTTATGTTGCGCCAGAAGTGTTAAATAAACATCCATACACAACAGCTGCTGACATTTACAATTTTGGTATTATTATGATTGAGATGTCTACAGGAAGACCTTCTCATTATGATATTGAGTATGATGAAATGTTAGCTATTCAAATATGTAATGGATTACGTTCTGAATTTGCTAAAGATACTCCTGAATGCTATATCCAATTAGCAAATCAATGTATGAATGCTAATCTTTCGACTGCATCTGATATATATAAAGAATTATCAATATGGTATGAGATATTAGATAATAGTAGTGCGGAAATGAAAATGAATTAGCAATATTAAAAGCATTCCAGTATGCGGATGTAATTATTATCAACCGAATTGCCAATTTGTCCTAAAGATAAACTTACAAGTAAACTGCTTAAGTTTAAAAATCTTTCTGAACTAATTAATTGTGAATGATTGCACTTATTATATCTGGTTTTTAATTAATCGATAAAGTTTTAATTACCTTTTTAACTTTTAGGTTCTAGAAAATGTGATTTTTTCGATCTCTGATGACTTTTATAACAATATTCACGCGTGTATCTAATAATTGTTAAAATATTCATTTATCTATTTAAATATTAGTCTCTACAGTCAATGATGAAGCATTATAAATAATGGATTGAGTTATTTAAATTAGGAATTAATTAGGCATCGCAACCTAGTGATGCGCTTACACATCACATCTTAATCAAATTTATATAACTCAAAATTTCACATATAGAACTATCTTTCGTGTTATAACAAAAAAAATTCCTCGCAAAATTTTATATGCATAAACTTCCTCTCTTCATCCTAAGCTAAACAAATAACCCGTTTATTTTGATTTTTATTTATGTTACACTCGAAACAATTGTACTTTGTATATACATGCGATGTATAAGCACATCGCAGGGTGCGACGCATACATTTACAGTAGAGTGTCCAGATTTATGCGATTTCAGGGATTTTCCATAGTTCAATGTAAAATCCCTGAAATCGCAAAGTCTGGACACTCTAAGACACAGTAAAATCAATGTCTAACATACTTGTATTTAATAAAATATATCTAAATAATTATTTTCTTTTAAAATAATACGCAACTTGTAGTCATTTATTACTTCTGAAAAAAGTTTTAGGTAGAATCGATATAGTAGTTCAGGTTTGTTTTCAAAGTTTTGCAGATCAAAAAAAATTTACTAAGGAATCACCCGGTTGTTAGAAGATTCCTAATTTCTTAAATCTGTAAATTTCACAAAAGTTTTGCATAAGATAATATATATTTAACAATTAATATTTAAATCCGAAGTTGAAGAATTATAATTGTTTTGCAAAGTTATTTGTAATCAAGTAATTATGTAAGCTATGATCTGCAAAGTTTGCAAACAGTGATAAATAAATTCGAATTTTAAAAATCCAAACTAATTATATATATAGTTGACTGTTCTCAGAACAATGCAAGATCACCAAAATTCTGGGTCTAATCGGTCTAAACGTAATAATGTCATAATGATAGCCTATTCATTGCCCAGTTGATATTTGTACGTTACTGTATTAGGTTGATATATGCTTAATGTCGGCAAACACCGATGAATTCCGACGGTAAATTTTTTGGATCGATTTATTGTTCCGAGAAAAAATTTTTTTTTACATTGCTAAGCCACCAGATATATAAAGATTCAATCGGTACAAAAAAAAAATTTTTTTTTAATATCCAAACATGAACAAGCTAAACGGAAGGTAATACTTTATTATTTATTACCAGTTTTTTCTTCATAATTATTGTAATTATTGTTTATATTGATTTGTTTTTAAACCATTATCAAAAAAAAACCCCCTAATTCATTAAACAGCATATCTACGAGTTCTCCATTACAAAGGAAAAAAAGCAATAACAATCGACTTGCAGTCAGTTCCATAGACAATATCAACCAAACACCAGCAGTAACCGGGTTGTCACCGCAATTTCAAATAACAGACGAACAGAGGGTAGAAATAAAAGAAGCTTTTGACTTATTTGATATAGATAAAGATGGTGCATTAGATTCACATGAACTAAACGTACGTAAGCCCAGACCATTTTGATTTGGTGATTTACATTACACCTTCTCCCCTCCTTCACACTTTTGCTACCCTTTGAGTAAAAAACAAAATTAGCCTTTATATATGGAAATGGGGAATGTGTGGCTTATAGTTTAGACCACAGTACATAATTCTGGGTGTAAATAATCATAAAAGTTCCGCAAAGTTCCGAGAAAAATGAACAATACGAGTAAGGTTGAAAAGTAAAATTCCGACATTTTCCGGAGGAAAATTGCATTTAAATGTAAACAATCAAATCAAATTGGTCTGGTTTAAATACTAGGAAGATATAAATAAAATTAAAACTAAGACGAATTATATGAATTAGGTAGCCATGCGTGCTTTAGGATTTAATGAGAAAAAGGCGGAAATTCTCGAAATTATACGTAAATACGATAAAAATGATGAAGGAGTCATTTCATTTGAGGATTTTGATAAAGTTAGTGAGTATAAAGATTATATAAAAGTTATAAAATTATATATATATATATATGTTTTTTGAGACTAGGAATGTTTTACTAAGTTTTAAATCTATTTAGTGTCAGAAAAAATATTAAATCGATCACCTCTAGAAGAGATTCGTAAGGCATTCCAGCTTTTTGATGATGATAATACGGGAAAAATTTCGTTGAATAATTTAAAACGAATAGCTAAAGAGTTAGGAGAAAATTTGGACGAAGAAGAACTTCAAGCAATGATCAATGAATTTGATTTAGATGAAGATGGAGAAAGTATCCTTTCAAATGATAATTTTAAATATTTTTATTGCACAATTCAAGTTATAGATTTAAATGTCTTAAATATCTTGCCGGAATTTTCACCATTTACGCACATAAATTATCCTTAACCAGTTTCATTATGTGATTATCGTTTATAGTAAACGAGGATGAGTTTATACGAATAATGACAGAAGATTCTTGATACAGGGTTGGGTTGTCCAATCAAAAAATAAACATTATATTGGATATATCATTCTCAGATCACCTTACTAATTAAAACAATGTTATGCCGTGGGATAGGGTTTCAAACCATCCCGTCTAAGCATGAAATTAGCTTCAAAATTATAATTAATAACTTGGTGATTAACTAGATTTAAAGGTCAAGCAAGCATCTTTATAGACAGGATTGTTTTAATGAACGAAGTAGTGCACAGCAATTATATAAAAATTAATAATAATATAAATAAATATAGATTATTAAATGTTAACGAAAATTTTGCATACCAATTTCATCTATTGTTTAATGGCAAATCCAGTTAAGGAAACTGCTTTAGAAATGTTACCCAAACTATTTGGATTACATGATTAATAAGTATTTACCACCTTATTGTTATTGCTGAAACTATGTGATACTATTCATCACATAGTTTGAGACGTCCAAATAGTTTGGGTAACATCGGTATTTAGAAACCTTCTATATCCTTATGACCTTCGATTTGGAACACTAATTATTATACGAAAGGGTGAAACCCGCGTTGTGAATTAGTAAAATCCGATACACAAATCACATGAGGGTGAAACCCGCTTTTGCATAATAAAAAACGTAGCGGGTTTTACTAATTTACCTGTTCTTTATTTGGATATATCGAATTGTCTTGTGCAATGTGCAATATTACCAACAATCATCAACTGCACCTCGCGGGAATGTCTAATGTCCCGACCCTGATGTAATATACTTTAGGAATTGTGTAAAAAAGTGATTTTTGCGTAAATTAGCTGTAATATCAATTCGGTCGGATCAGAATCATATCGTTTATGTAAATAGAAGTAGAGTGCATTAACAACGCGAATTAAAAGTATTTTACGATTTGTAAGGAAAAGTATTGCATGATTATGATAATATCGTATCGATGTATATATATTTTAGGGTATATACTAGACATATAACATTGCAACATTACATATGTTCAAATATACAAAATTACTAGATTTTAATGTCGGCTAACTTACATCGATATATATTTTTTCTTTTTTGAAACACAAATAACTAACAGCTTCAATGAGTATATCAACTACTAGGGATTCTAATCGTCTTGATCTTTGAATCTTTGACGAAAATGAGACGGATGATAGGGACGATAGAAATGTTGTTCTTGTTCGGATGGTTGTTCTGTTGTTGATGGCTGTAATTGTTCTTCTATTTTCTTTTGTTGCTGTTCGTTTGTCAAGTTTTGCTCTTTTTGAACTTTTCTGCTTTGTTTAAGTCTTTCATCTTCGACTGCGCGTCTTTCTCTATCTTCTTCAATTTTATTCAAAGCGATTTTTCTTCGAGATTCTTCTGCTATCTTTTCCCTCACTCTAGCACGTTCTTTTAATTCACTACGTTCTTTGATTTTTTGTAAAAAATCTTCTAATAATTCGTGAGCAATTTCTAAATTTTCCAATTGTTTCAGCAACTGAGAAGTATCATTATTTCGTGGCATTTCAAGAATAAAAGATTTTTGAAAATCAACAACTTTTGCCTTGAAACCAATCTTAATGAGAAATTCAACACCACCATCAACTTCTCGTACGGTGGATTTTACGATTTTATTACTTTCTTTAAGTCTGCGTTTTGTTTCATCATGAGGAAATTTGATTATGTTTCCTACAATTTTGCTTAAAGTATCAACGCATTTGTATGCATCTTCAGGCCGATTATTTCTAGATATTTGTTTAATAATAATATCATGAAGACTTTTTCTAAATTCTTTGTCGGTAGCCATGTTAAAAAAAAAGATTAATCAAAAGTAAACGGTTTTGTTTTAAAGTTACATCCGTATGTGCGTATATACGTACATATGTACATGATCAATTCATTGTTTCCTAAATTGCTTATCGTTATGACATCACAGATTATAAATAGAACATTCGAGAATTTGGTGTTTGAAGGTCATACAGTACGGGAACAGAAAAAATCATCAAATTTTAATGATGATATAATTAATTATGATTGGTCAATTATTATATAATTTATTTTGATTGGTCATAAATTAGTAATAATAATATTCTGAATTAGCGGAAACTTCGTTTTCGCTTATTCGCATACGGTCAGAGTATTATTAATTAATCCTCCCGTGATCTTGATATAGTGATCGGGGGATTAGATAGATAATTTTTTTTAACAATGGGCATTAACGTTAACTAATGTTTCGGGTGAAATTGTTTCGGATTTAGAAAGTGATCCGAAATAAAAATCCTAAATTCCGAATTCAAGAAATACATCCGATAAAATTCGATATTTCCGATATTTCCGATATTTCCGATATAAATAAATGATACGTAATTATATATTTTTTGTCAATACAAAGTTTTTTTTCGAAAGCTGCTAACACAATCTGTTCCGGTCTCTAGTAAGCTGACTCATTAATATTTTTTTGGTCTGGTCTACTAGTCCAAGTTTCAAAAAACCGTTCTTAATAATAATAATTATTATTATTTATTTGACGTTATTAAGACTAGCCTGAAGCCCGGAAATCGACTAATGCTGTAATATAAGATTCGGCATTATTGAATATGTCATTTGTGTAATAAATGCTTGAATAAATCAAATAATCGCTGAATTATTTGGCATATCGATATTAAAGTATCATTAAAGTTTATAAAAACCATAAAAAATATTATTCATCTTGACGCTAATTATTATTTATTATGACTAATTCTAGTTTATTGGTTTTATTATATGATAAAATAAAAGAATTCTCATATTACGTATAAATTTCATTTTTATTAATGGGTATCCGTTAGCTGTACTAAATTTAGTACAAAATACTTAATTTAGTACAGTTTTAAAGTAGCGATAAATCAAAAAGTATGACAGAATGTCATGTGAAAATTTGTATATCATATCTATAGTACGTACAGAGTCTACTTGTAATACTTCATAAGTAGAAGTCACATGGTAAATTATTATATATACACACGAACCTGCATCAAACTTGTATGACAAATTGATTGTGAAACTTGATCAATAAAATCTCTTTTCGCCATATTCAGTCATTCTAAAAGCTGTTATATGATCTTTACGAATTGAAAAAAGATTGTGTTTTTAAAAAAAATAAGTATGTGTGTTGCATGTCATTTATTGATTCCCGTCAATTCGGAATCGACGCATGTTGTTTTTGAATTTTCACCGATTAACAAAT